AAAGGCCCCTGCTGGCTGGATCCAGAATTCCAATAATGACTGACCACTAGCAATTCAGGTTAAAAAGCTTTTTATAAGATGTTCTAGGAACACAACTGTGATTTTATAACAAAGAATTTAGGGAAAAGCACATTCCATGGCAGCCTCACAAATACATTTGGTGAGCCCAACCTGCTCGTGTGTTGGAGCCTACTGTACTGTTAAATTAATACAGAACAATACAATAAAACAAGAGAAAAAGGCTGTGAAAAATATATAGACTGTACAAAAAATAGGAAAGAAATAGTACTGGTTTAAATCATTCTGTACCAACTTAACGAAAATACATACTCATTAGCTACAAGATGTAAGGGAAAAAGGCAATCTGGTTTGTCAGATAAAAACAATTTGTGTTTAAAGAATTTAGCTGTAAGTGGAGTACTTTACAGCAAGAGAAAGCTTCCAAAGACCCCTTGCCTACTCAAGATGCTTTCTGAACTCTCATGCCACACTATTTCTCCTAATTTCCAGTAACATCAGAAATATTAATGTAGCCGTGAGTTAGGCCAACAGGAAATCCCCACTCTATATATTATGCAAATTATAGTGATACATATCAGAGGCCATAAAGCTTTCATTTGTGAAAACATTCTTCCAAGATAAAACTATCTGCAATTGAAAATAATGGAAAACAGGCTGTCATTAACAATGTTGAGAATAATCACTATGTGGAATTTCTACTAGGTCAATTTAACTGTTAGTTTTTCTTCTCTCCATTGAAAAAAATGTTTAATTTTCTAACTGCCCGAATACATGTACTGTTTCCCAAAGGCGAGTGCTACTGAATGACTCTACCACTCACTGGTTGCAAAAAGGGATTCAATCAGGCAGATCTAATGGAAATGCTTTTCAGTGTTTGTAAAAGCAATTAAACTGAACCTGGAAATGTACACTTAGTTAAGAACAGACCTATGAAAACAAAGTATACATGTGCCTCATTTCAACAAAATCCAATTATTAGAAAAATATTAACCATAAAGTTTCTTAAAGCAGCTACATGCCAGTGTCGTTTACAACACTAACCAATTGACAGACAGGAATGGAGACAAGGGGAAAAAAAGTTAAAATGTTGACCTCAGAATTAACTGAGCCACACTCCCCTACCCACCAAAGCTCCAACCTTAACTTTTAGGGGACTCCAATAGTGTGATAACTCTATAAAATTTTTTAAAAGGCTCAGAGAAGACAAATAGGGACTCTGTGGCAACTTACTACACTGATGGACAGGGACTGAAATGGGGTATGGCTGGCGGTGGGGGTACTCGATAATAAGGGATTTAATAACCACATTGTTTTTCTTGTGAAACCTTCCTAAAAGTGTGTATCAATGATACCTTAATAAAAAAAAATTTTTTTTGAGGAGAGAAACAAGAGGAAGAGAAGCCTGACAGTAATTTGAGTTGAAAAATAGGACTTAGAGAAAAAGTTTTAAAGGTACAGAACACAGTTGCAAAGTAGGCTGAAAGTATAAATCACAGAAAAAGTTAATCACTACACTAGCTCTGCTGCATTTACTCAGACTACCAATTTACTTCTGAGTATAATTCAAGGCGTCCATCAGTCTTTCATAGCTGAAGCTCTGGCTACCTTAGAGACCTCAGTTCTTCATCATTACATCTAGGCACCAAGATCAGAATCTGTATTTCTACCTAGCAAATGAATCTCTAGAGGGGATAAAGACAAACTTCCTCTGATGGTGGTCTCTTACTAACCTTACTCCCTCCTGCTTCTCTTGGTTTTACTGAATCTCAGTTACTCACCTCGGGGAAAAGCACAAATACTGCTTTTTGAATTTAAATCTATCCATACGGTGTAATAAAAATAACACCTTCTTACAAACCCATTTTTTATACAATTGGTACTGGTATTTTGATACTGATATTAAAGTAACAACATTTCTAGCAGAAAAAATAATACAGAGCTTTAGAACTCATATGATTTTATCTGGGATGTGTTTTACTTGTTCTGAGGCTATCTGCAAAAAAAAGTTACAGTTAAGACATAAACGGAGAGACTAATATTTATACTGGGGAAGGGTGAAGGTAAAACAGACTTCATTATATAAAATACTCCTGTTCTAAAGAAAATGGGATCTTCTGGAACACTGTCAATAGGCACAACTTTACTTTAATTCAAGACACACAGTAGCTTTGGTGTCTGAGCCAGAGAAGGGTGGCAACCACAGCGAAGCAGTCAGGAGATTGAAGGCACTGGGCTTTGCCTTCCCCAGAATTTAAGCAAGACTTCTGATCACTAGACAACTGTACGTAAGCATGAGCATTTTAGATATTAGAAGTGAGGCCAGACTTCTCGTTCAACAAGAGAAATTAAATATATTCAATTAACTCTCTTTCCCATGAAAACGCCATAAAATGACAATAAAAGAATAGATTAGGCAAAACCTCAAAAGGCCAAAGAAGTCAATCACAGATTACAGATGTCAGTGAAGAGAGAAAGAAGATGCGCAGGAGCCCGGCAACTGTAAGGAGAAAATGAGACAGATTTACCCTGAAGGATGGGGAATTTTCTTTTCGGGGCGGGGTCAGGGGAAGACATCTAAGAACACAGGTCTGCTGAAAAGTCTTTAAATGGACCATTTAGACCCCAGGACTTAACCTTTAACTTCAGGTTTAGTCTCCACAGAAGGTTTGAGAATCCTCAGGACCGCGGAGGAGGGCGGCGGAGGGCAGCGCGGCCCTGAACAGGAAACAAAGGCTCAAATGAAAGCCTGGGTTAAACTGCCCCAGAGGGAGACTGAGGAATCCGCCCAGCAGCGAGCAAAGAGGCCCACAGCAAAGGCCCCGTCCTGAAATTACTGGGGGAGTGACAGGGAGGGGCCAGGGAGCTATTTTTTTTTAAGCTTGTTTGTCAGGGGGTCACCCTAGAGTGAAACCCAGGGTAGACAAGCTCCACCTAAAATACACAAAGCCCCAATTAGCCTTTTTGAATTACACTTTCATGTATGAATGAAATTTGAAGGAGGCTTCCAATAGGAAGGACAGAACTTAAAACCGGGGAAGTGAACACAGAGGTCTCAGAAACAATCTAGTAAGCAAGAGAAAACCTTACCAACAACAAAAACTACAAATAAATACCCTGAGAGAAAAAACAGAAAATACTGCCTCCTTGAAACAAGATGAAAAGAGAAACGTACCGTTCTTAGGAAATAAATACAATAATCTGGACAAAAAAAGTCAAAGAAATAGTAAAAAATATAGAATAAAAAGGCAAAATGATCAGAAATAGGAGAAAAAGATGAAAGTAAACAGTCTAAATGTTTTTATATGTAACTAATAGTATATCAATAAAGACAGAAAAGGGAAATTATACTGATAGGACAGAAATAGTCCAAACTGTAGTATCAGAAAAGCTGTAGAAGTGGGGAAAGTGGGTCATCCACCTAAACAGGTCCAGAAACACCCAACACAGTAACACTGGGGAGACCAAGACACCAATTGAATTTCAGAACACCTGAATAGAGAATATCCTAAAAACCTCCCCCATTTTTTTTAAAGGAAAAAAGCCAAATACAAAAGAGCTGAAGATTCGGAATGGCATCAGCGCTCTCAACACTGCCAGAAGCCAGAAGACAAGAGTGACCCCCTTATAGGCGCTGATGGAGGGTCACAACCTCGGGTTTCTGTCTAGCTGTGACTATAACCAAACACCTCCAATTTTTTCCTCCTCTGCACACTTCCTCAAGAAGCTACTATAGAGCGTGTTCCACAAAGCAAGGGGGAAAAGCAACCCAGGAAAGGGGCGCAGTGACGACATGGCCAGGGCGAACAGAGAAGGGCCTCGGGGCTAAGGTGCCCGGCAGCACGGACGCCCCAACAGGCTCTGCTGCCACCACTCGGGGAAGGAGATGATACTGGGGAGGCCTTTGGAGTTTTTTAGCTTTGTTGAAGATTTTGGGAAGAATAAGTGGAAATTAAGGACACAAGAAAATAAAGCAATGATTAATTCCATATTGGAGGATGGGGGAGGTGAAGGTGGGCAGCAGAGGAAAGCTAAATTTCTTAGATACTAGAACAAAGAGTCACTATTATTTTTTTAATTGCAGTTTAAACACTTAATTTATAATGTAAGGGTAAATTCCAGAAAAAACAGCCAGCAGATTAGATTACTGAGTAGGCTCCCCTGGGGACGGGCAGAGGAGGGGGAGGCCTGCTGGCTTTTGCTGTGAGCTTCCCACTTACAGAGCCAATTCCCACAGCAAGGGGCACCCCATCACTCTAAGTGCTTTCTTCAGTCCCACAAGAAATCTACCTCATACAATCATTACACACCAGTATTCAGTGACACACCAATCTGTTCGATACAAGTCACTGTTACCTGTATTTTCACCTATACGTATCTTAAAACACTCAACCTGGATCTGTCGGTACAAAGCACAGGTTTATGGTGTTTTCTGATGATGAAGAAAATGGCTGAAAATTATAAAGTAAGTCCTTCCAAAGTTTTAATAATGCATAATCCCTAGAATTACCTCTACAACAATTAGGATGTACTTTTTTCCTGTATTCTGCACTTTTATATCCATACTCCTGGGACAATGCCAGAGGGAAATTAACAAAGGCTCTACAGACCTGTGGAAGAATTTACAAAAACTGTATTTATGTCTGTACATTTGGACCACTTCTATTTTGACAGTTAAATAATTCTCAAAGAGAATCAAGAGATCATCTGGTCTATGTCATATGAAATTTTGGTTAGGAGAAAATTTTTGACACAATACTGGAAAAATCAGGCTGACAAGTTAGAAATTGTTCTGATTCTTAAGACCTCCGGCAACTTTGTTTCTCTTCCATTAAAGATAATTATTAAATTCCAAATCAAGTTTCTCAGCATTAAGTCTACCAATACATACAATTTTCCTTTAATAAATTATGAAGTGCATTCATCATTTTTAAAACTATTTCCAACCATAATTCTGAAGGCTAAGTTCAATGGATACTTACATTGACTAATCCAAAATAGTGCTCGTTGACTGGGAACTGTTCTGGACCAATCTCTTTCTCTAATGCCGAGGCATTGGCGCCCTATAAAATGAAAAACAGAGATCTTAGTCTTCATAGTATTTTCATAACGTTGTCATAATTACATAGGCATTACAGAGACATCCCTTAAAAAACTATGTTCCCTTTAACTAATGTAATTGAAATAAAATAAGGGATAATAGTGATGAATATAGGCTTTTAATAATGAGGCTAGGAACTAGTTTGCAGGAGCTTTCTCATAGAACCAAAGCCCAGATCAAAGAATTATATTCACAACTTGTTTCTTTTTTATAAGTAATGAATTGAAAGCACCTGCTGTACATGTGTTCTTCCTAACAGGAATGTAATCTAATAGCCATCTCAGTTGAAATTTTGTGAAATTAAACATGCATATATTCAGTGACCTAACAATTCTTTGCAGGGATAGATCTGAAAATTTTTCATAGGGAACTAAAGGACCACACAGCTGACAACAACCTAGATGGCCTATAAAATATGGCAGCAAAAGAAATGAACTAGATTCATATAATCACAGACATTTCTCAAAAATATGTTGAAAATAACAAAACATGAGATTAACACAAAACTCCTCCATCTATATAAAAAGCACATGGCAAATGGGCTGGAAGAATGTGTATTCAGTACAACTGAGGGCTGGGACATGGAATTGGGGGTGAAAGATGATAAAAAATAAAATGAAGCCCAACAAAAGAAAGGCCATGGCAGATACGGATCCTCTGTCACGGTCTCAGGAACAGGATCAACTCCATTCTGCTCATCAGAGGTCCCTGAAGAAAAAGTGAAGGTACAGGAGGACACTAAGGCCCTGAGTACCAGCACATACTAATAACAGGCTCGAAAAGTGATTTGAAAGGGAAATGAGAGCAATTCCGAAAGCATGGTAACTCTGGATATATTTACTTGAAAGTTTCCAAAGAAAACATACCACCAGATAAATACAATTGATATATCCTTACTCACAAAATACCGAACCCCACCCTGCAGAGCTGCACACCACACACCAGGCAACACAGGAGGCCGCCGCACCGACACTGGCTCAGGGTTATCACCGCCCCAGAGCTCAGAAGCCCTGCTCCCTGACTGAGCTCCAGTCCGGAACCTGGGAAGCCCAGACCTTTGCCGTCCTACATGTTCTCAATTTCCTGACAGGTCAAGCCTGAAAATAAGTACTGATTAAAGGGACCTGGTTGGCTGGTGGCCAAGCTCTACCAAAGCAAGACATTCCCTCCACTACTCCAGCCATCCAGCACTTGTATATATACAAGATACTGCCTCTATTTTTTAAATTCAGAATTACTTTTAGGCTTTATATAAAACCTTGATGCAATCACTTAGTTTATAGATATGTTTCTAAACATGACTACCATTAACTGTTCTAGAACAACATCAAATTCCATTACTACAGCAACTTCAAGACCCACTGGACAAAGCCACCTTGGTACGAATGCCGCACACCCAACCCCCACCCCTGCCAGCACAAGTGTCTTGTCACAAAATTCCTTTACATGTGTTGAAAACTATCAGTAAGCCCAGATCTTTGCCACCTACTGGAGAATTCAAACTCATATTGGGTTATACAAATGAGTACAACCCCTTTTCCCAAAAAAGAAGAAATGGTGATTATCCAAATACAGCCTTGCACACAAACCTTGAGAAAGTGTTTCTGGCCCTTAGGATGAACTAAGAGCAGAATGCAAGCCACATGAACATTCCCTGTCCAGTGTAATACCAATCACACCACACACCCTGCATTCTAACCACCTCAGATGTCCCACTTGTCCCCAGTATAACACACCCTTTCATGTGCTGCTTAGAAAGCCCTTCCCCCAACCTGTCTTCAGAGCTGGTTTCACCAGGGGTCAGTAGTAGCCTCTCTGTGCCTCAGGTTCCTAACTAAGGAAAAATGCCACTAAGTACTACACAAGGTAGCTACAAATTAACTGAATTTAAATGTTTGGACAAGCACCTGGCAGTGCCTGGTACATCAGCAGAAGTCCCATTACCCTTGGTTCTCTTCTTCCCTTCACTCCCAAGGGGAAAAAAACCTACTCTCACAAGCCAGTAATGCCAATAAATGTGATCTCCCTTCAATAGCTAAGAAATAACAATAGAAACAAAAATTAGAAGAAAAAAATTAGACAGCTATCTTAAAAAAAACAATTCTCTACTCATTCCGGCCAATACAACAATCAGAGGTATCATGACTGTACCCACCCAACCTCCCAAGCCTCACAACAAACAAACACACAGGCCAACCAGAGGTCAGGGAAGAGAAAGCTGAGTGTGATAAAGTGGGAAAGGCCATAGACCATAGTCATTCAACCTTTCTGGATGTAAGAATATTCTTGGCAAAATAAAAGAGTCAATCTCCTCAATGAACTTAAAAAGCCCTAGCCTCAAACTTATCTATTGGGTTTTCACGTAGGTCTTTAAACAAATTAAGGTCCTCACAGCTAAATATGACTAGAAAATGTAAAGATTAAACAGTAGTCTCTTCTACCTCAACGTTCTATCATTCCCAATCACTTTTATCAATACTTCTGAGAACATGACTGTATTAACACAGAATTCCAAGAAGTCCAAGTCAACCAATGTATGCCAATCAACACAATTGAACAGAGAGGGATTTGGTTACAGAGGGAGTAAAGGCAGCAGATCGAAATGGAAAATAGAGAATGAAATTTACTTTATGGTAACTCTAAGTTAAGGTACAGCATAGTAAACTAAACCTTACTATAGTAATGATGTTCAGCAGATTCTATGAATGTGCAGAAGGATATTCTTTTGGCACGAATTCCAAGTTTCCTCTACAGAAACAATCAGAGTACATCACTACCTCTAGCCAAATACTAACTACAAAGGCAAAGAGCAGCCTAAGCAAACCAGTTTCTGAGGAGTGGCTTTTTAATTTAAAAGTGTTTTCAACTCTTAGAGGTAACTGGTAAAAAACAAACACCATGCTCAAAATTTGCTGTATAATTTTTAGCATCTTTACAGGAGTTCTCAAACATCAGCTCTTGAAGATTTTGTTGAAAGCTGACAAACCCTCTCGTGTCAAATAATGATGATTTCTACTAGGCCTAGAACAAGTCAATATCCAGTAGCACTGGTTCCAATTTTTCTGTTCCACCCTTAAGAAATATGATCTATTACAATTAACAATCATTCATGAAATCCGTGATTCTTTACTGGGATAAAGGAAAGAAATGGTGATGCTCAGTTAAGAGTTCTGCTCTGAAGCTTTCATGGGTACCGGGATTCACTTGTTTTGTCTGAGTATACGACACTCACAGAAGGAAGACAACTTTTTTCCTGACTATTCTGTCTCTGTTTTTGTAACTTACATGAAAGGTTATTTTTTAGATTCAATATCTGTTAGAAAAGAATTCATCATGACGATGCAATTAGATATTCATGACCTTCTCGATGAAGACAACCAAAGGATGGATGAATTTTTAAATTTAAAATAATAACTTACTGAACTGGTAAGAAAATATCTGCAGAAACCAAAAAATATAAAGTGACAGGGGAGCCCTGGGAGATCAGCAAATGCCAAAGACAGATTCCACACTAAGTGTATCTGCCAACACTAGTGACCTCTGAACTCTCCTCTGACAGCTAAATGGAATGGAGCACAGGAAAACCAGCACTAAAACTTAAAACTGGCACTGAAACTCCCAAGACAGGGAGGCCAACAGAAGAACACAGCATGACACTAGGATCCCAAAAGGGCTACATCTTTAACGTAAGGGGAAAAAGCAATAGCCTTGTACAACAGGAGAAGACAGCACGGACACGGCCTAACTCGTCCTTGCCACTCAGGCGGGGAGATAAGTATCTTCCAAAAATTTGTAACCACAAGTTGGCCTCATAAACGTCTGTGACCCAAATTACACAAGCTGTAGGATTATAAAATTAATGACAACAAAAATCTCAAGTAGAAAATGTAATTCAAAGAGATGCTGAGTTGACAGTGCCATCTTCCAGTTCACAACTAACAGAATTACAAATTCACTCTGTAAGACAAATTCAACCCATCCCACAAAGGACTCCCACAAAACTCCAAGAGATTTGAGTTCACAGTAAAAAAATCACACACATCCATAAAAACAACAGGAAAACAAAGCACTATGAAGAAAAGCCAGCAGAAGCAGACACAGCAGTATTAGACTCTTAAGATACTAAGTATCAGAACTATTTCAGACATGATATAAAACAAAGGCTTAATATGTGCCAAGAAATAACAAAGGCTTGATTATAAGAAAAAAGATGAGACTCTGAATACTAAGCACATTTTTTAAAGAACCAAGTAATACTTCTAAATATAAAAATAACAGTAATTAAGAGTAAAAACTCAATGTAAAAATGGAGACAGAAAAAGTCAGTGGCTGACAGGGTTGGGGAGAAGGGGGAATAAAAGGAGAAGCACAGAGGATTTTTATGGAGGTGAAAATACTCTGCATAAAAAGTACTATAATGATGAATACACATCATAATACATTACATATTATAGACAGGACACCAAAAGTAATCTGAAATGTAAACTATGGACTTCAGGTGGTAATGATGTGTCAATATAGGCTCACCAATTGTGACTTGTGATAAATCTGGCGGGGGATATGGATAACCAGAGAGGCTCTGCATGAGTGGAGACAGGAGTATACAGGAAATCTCAGTACCTTTCCCTCAATTTTGCTGTCAACCTAAAACTGCTCTTAAAAAAAAGTCTTAATAAATAAAACCAGAAAAAAAATCAAAAATAAACAAGGTTAATATTAGGTAATTTTTTTAGTCAATATTCTTGTCAATATAATGCTTATAACTGAAACTAAAGTTTTGTTAAAAACAGGAAATGTTCAAGTACCAAATGATTTCACTCATATGTGGAATATAAGAACAAAGGAAAACTGAAGGAACAAAACAGCACCAGAATCACAGAACCCACGAATGGACTAATAGTTACCAAAGGGAAAGGGACTGGGGAGGATGGGTGGGAAAGGAAGGGACAAGGGCAGGGAAAA